AGTCGTCTCTTTTTACAAGACCTTTCCAATACTCGTGCTTATAATGACTACTTAGAAGCTTACGATCCTCTTCCAAGACAGTACATAGATTTGTCAGTTAGAGGAGATGAGACAGACAATGATCGTCAATACGGTGTGAAACATGATTTAGAAACGGAAAAATTCAAAATCGGTAATTTAAATTTGGAAATTATCGGTAAAGATTTATTAATCGGCAATGTAAAATACATCGGAACCCCAGGCTTATATGAATTATTATTCAAAAAGGAGCCAACGGGTTACAAACAAACAGATTTGGATAATTATATTGACATTTTAACTAAATCCAATGCTTATCGCAGACATTATAGCTCCGATGAACAAATACAAGGTTCTCAATCGGAAAAGTACAGGACAATAATCAAACCGGTTTTGGTGAAAAAAGGGATTCTAAAGACTGGTTCCATCCAGACAACATTTTCTAAACCTCCACCACCTACTAGACCTTTACGAAAGACACAATCTTTTAAGCATTATACGAAAGGTGGACTGTTAAATCTGTCCAATAGGAAAGTAGATTATGTATATTTTGATGATCCAAATGAACTTATAGATAGGTTAAGATTATTGATTGCATCAGAAGCCGCTGGGAATGATAAACATAATAATGAAATTATTTCAATAATTGAAGAACTACGAGAAGCGAAAATTATAAAATAAATCATATTCCACATCTCTTCTCATTTAATTGTTAACTATTGTTATGAAAACATGCCTATCGATAAATTTGGTAGACACATTTTAAGGGCAGCACCTTACCAGTCAGTGACCAGTCCACAGATGCCAGTTATAACATCGTCACCTAACACATCGGCGTTCTATATATGTGAACCTTCATTACATCACAGTAAATGCATAATAAATATAAGAGGTGTTGAAAATAAATCCAAAAAACATAGTTACTACATATTAGAAAATACGAAAGAAGAATATATCTTTCCAATATCTGGAAAAATAGAAAGTATAGAAATTTCACCAACTAATTGTCCAGTCTCATTCGGAATAAAAACTTTAAAATCAAGTGATCTAATCGGGAAAAATATAAATAAAGGAGACATTATTCGTTTTCGGGGCCAATCGGCTTCCTTATATGTGGAGATTGTGTTGCAATGCCCTATAGAGAAAAATGTCTAATATTAAAGAAGTAATCGTAAACGAAATACATAAACCAGCAAGGAAAAATTTTAAGAGGAGACGTGTTATAAGTTAAAGGGTTAAATGATTTAATTCAGGCCGATTTGGTAGAAATGATTCCCTACGCTAAGATTAATAAAGGATATCGCTATATTCTTGTAGTTATAAATGTATTTAGTAAATATTTGTGGGTGAAGCCCGTTAAAAGGAAAACAGCAAAAGATGTTGCGAAGGCTATGGAGAAAATTTTGTCGGAGATGAAACACCCTGTACATAATATTCAAACGGACTTAGGCAAGGAGTTTTATAATAGTGAATTTCAAAAGTTAATGGATAAATTTAAAATAAATCATTATAGTACTTTTTCAACCAGGAAAGCTAGTGTTGTTGAGAGAGTAAATCGAACAATGAAAAATTTAATGTGGAAACAGTTTAGCCTTAGAGGAAATTATAAATAGACTGATATATTACAAGATATTGTAACGCAGTACAACAATACCACTCATACTACTCTTGGGCTACCTCGTAATAAAATCAACCAAAGAAATGCTAAGAAAATATTACAGACAGTTTACAGTCACCTGAAAACATTAGACTTGAGACGACCGAAATATAAAGTATGAGATTATGTAAGAGTTAGCAAACATAGAGAATTATTTTCTAAAGGATATACCCCCAACTGGATCAATGAAATATTTTCAATAAGAAAGGTTCAGTACACTAATCCTACAACTTACCTGTTAAAAGATCAAAACAACCAAGAAATTCAAGGTAGCTTTTATATTGAAGAGCTTCAGAAAACTTCTCATCCTGACGTATTTTTAGTGGAAAAGGTGCTTAGGAAAAAGGGAAATATGCTTTTTATTAAATGGTTAGGACTAGATAAAACACATAATTCTTGGATTAATAAAAATGAAATAGTGTAGTCAGTTTCATACTTCAATAAAATAATTTTTATATTACTTATTTTTTTATTTTTATATTATAATAAAAAATTTTATGTTGGTACACTACATAAATCTTTCATTGTAAATTTTACATCTATGATTATTATCTAAAATAGGACAAATAACATTTGATGTCAACTGAATTCGTCTATGGAAGCGGTGTCTGTCGATTGCACAATTCTCCCAGTACCTTAATCTCGCGATTCTATGCTCTTCAGGCCACATAACTATATAATGAATTTTATCAGGTTCATCACTAAATCTAACTTTCTTCATTATGCGATCTACTATACTATAATAATACACATAATTTCTTTACATTAATTTATTGTTCTTTTATAAATTCATTTTTAAACATATCAGGATACATGTAAATAAATTCCAGAACCATGCAAATATTCTCACTGTTGGGATTTTCTTGAGGTTGTAATACTTTTAAAGCATTAATGATAACATCACCATTCATATTCTGCAATCCCGATCTTACAATCTTGAAATAACTCGTGAACTGTTGATTCTTAAACAAATCCATCCTGTATTTAATAAGTGGTAATAAGTTCCATAAAGTGCACATCGTATCGTAGGAGAGATACACAAACATATTATCCTTCAAAATTTTTACAACATTTGAATATTGTAGCTGCTTGAACTCCATAGAAAAAAATCCAGCATCTATCGGTTCCATGTTTTCTCCGGTGTATAAATAATTTGTTATTATTCCTTGGTAAGTTAAAAAATCTTTCCATTCGTTTTCATTAAAGATAATCCAATCATTTTTATTACCAAATATTTTAATAATCGGAATAAATTCGACATCGTATAGAAAACCCACAGATATAGATTTACTTTTCGACTTATTTAAGCCATAACTTCTTTCACCTACAATAACTGGTATGGGTACAGTTTTTTCAGTTACTGATTCGTTCTGAGAAAATGTGCTAGACGAATACATTTTGAAACTGACTTGATATATGTACATACACTGTTTTATACTGTTTTCCCTACCACTTCATATCACGTGATTATTCCTCATAATTCTCTCTCACAGCTCTCTCATTAAATCTGGGGGGTCAGGGTCGTTATTAAACAACCGGTTTTATGAACTGTTCAAACTGGTTAACAAATGTTTCTAAGCAATGATGATAAAGTCTATCCTTACTATAATAAAACAAATAATTCTTTTACACTAATTTATTGTTCTTTTATGAAATCATTTTCAACATATTGGGGTATATACATATACATAAATTCCAGAACCATACAAACATTCTCGTTATTAGGATAAATGTTGTAAATATATAACACGTATTTGCATATCTAAAATAATGCAGAATAAAAACAAGTCAAACATATACAAGTCTATGCTTATTTTCTTCCAAGAGCTCTTTTAGACTGTTGACTTCCTCCTTTTCAAGTTTAACCTGTTCGATTTTATCATTGAAGAGAAACTGTAAAACTTCACAACACTCACATTCTGCATCTTTACT